AATTATATATATATATATATATATATATCAACATTTTAGTCATCACTTAACACTATATATATATATATATATGAGATATCATTCTGTTCAATATCCGTGCTTCGTGAAAGAAAGTTGCATGCATCGAATGCAGCAGTATTAAAGCTACTCGTCGTCTTAGCGAACAGTGCGTCAAAAGTATCTTGCCAGTGATTAGTAATTGAGCGTAATGGTTCTTATCGGCTGATTCGTGCGTCTATAACCGACGATCTAGGATCGTCTAGGGGCATTATATTCGCGCAGTTATTTACAATTCTGTTGCAGCAACCGTCTTCGAGCAAACTCCGCGAGTTATTCCACTTTTTGGAACGTCCCGTGTTGATCAAGGCTGAATATAGGTCTCTCTCGAAAAATTAGACGACGGTGAAATTTAGTTCAAACCACGGCGCGATTTTGAATGCGCGATTAATTAATTATTAATTAAAATATGGATACGATTAAATGTGCGGAATTAATTGATGTGACATTTCCATAGAATATAATTAATGAAAATACGCAATTAAAATACAACGAATTAATACGGGGTATTAAATTAACGAACGCATAATTCGGTGCAATAAAATATGCAATTTGCATTTCTACCAAATATCATATTAAATTAATTGAATTGAATCCTCGTTACATTTTTTTATACACGGGCATTATAATCGCGCATGCATCTTAATTAGGTTTATATTTATAATGTGGCAATCAATGACCGAAGTTCGAGACGTTTTCCGCACATTTCGGATATCATATTTTTATCATATTTTCGCAGATCGTCAATTATTCAACCTTAATTCACACTTCTTGCGAGGTCCTCACATTTGGTCCACGTCTTCGAGATCGATCGAATTTATCGTATAAGGATTTACTTTTTAATCAATCGTCCCCGAAGAGTCCACTTCGCTGCCGTTGAAACGATTAGCTTTGCCACTTTCTAACTAATCAACATATATTATATCTTGGCTACGTGCGCGTATGTATAACGTGACATTAACATCTTCTGTCCTCTTGAGCGACTGCCCGCGATTCATGAATTTTATACATTATTGCTTTTCCACATTGTGTACGCACAATCGGCCTCGCGCTTTTTCTCGTTACCAATTTTTTATAATTTAAATTTAATTAAAGTTAATTTGTCACTACTTAACAGAATCTTTTCTTTAAATAATACTTGCTAATTATAATTAACAAGCTCTCTCTTTCAAAAATAAATTAGAATTGTCTCAGTTATGTATCTGATTTCATTCTCGTTTCTTCTGTTCATCGTGTATCAATTTCCATATGTTCTACGCATATCGTAAAATTTATGATAAAAAATTAAAAAAAAAATACATTAATTTTTAAATTAAATTTTAAACAAAGTATTGTTGCGAGTATAAATATGCGTGATTAGATGTAGCGCAGCTAAAATAAGAGAAAATTAATCTAAAGAATCGATTATAATGTTTGTCGTCCGACGGAATTTCATCGGAATAATTAAATTATGATATGTATAATAATGAATTAAATTATAGTACAGAGTAATTATCGTTAAATCAGAATACGAAAGAACAAAATATTGATATTCACGCGATTATAATCGCTGTATAATCCGCTGTAATAATATCATTTATATTATCATTATTTTATTTGATATAATTCAGAGGGAAGGGGCGCGGGGAACGATTGGCACGCACAAACGTACTCTCGCATTTCACACGCAGGACTCACACGCATACAAGGCGTTAGTTACACTCGCGCCTAGATCAACGAATGTCACCTAATTGAATTACCGTATTACAACTTGTTGTCTAATTCGCACTTGTCGTCCATGTACAAACAATATGACAGCCAGAACGCGCTGGCTGTCCACCTTTATCTCGCATTATTATATATATATATATATATATATATATATGCACTTACGTAACGTATATTTATAGAGTATATCGTATGCATAGAAGGGCTCTCTATTTATTTGCCGTATTGTTCCTGCCGCTACATTGTCTAGCGAGTTTTCGTTAGTTAACTCCGGCAGCTCCCGGATTCGCCTGAAGCTTTAGCGCAATTATAATCCTCAAGATCCCGTCCAATGGCTTCTCGTCACTTTTGGCTAGTAGAAGTTACTACTAGGATAACACAATCCTCGTGGTAATTGTTACATTCTGTGTTTCCATCAATGACTATGTCATATAATCCATATCTATTTTCAGAAATTTCATCTTCCCATTTATTGACTGTTACTTTAGTTTTGGTAATGGAAATAAAAAAGAAATAATAAATAATAAATCAATTTAAATTCAATTAAAAAAATTTATAAGTATTTTTGAAATATATAAAAATAATAATTTAAAAAGTTATAGAAGTTAAGGTTTGATTAATATTTTCTTTGAGCTAATTGTAAGTAAATAAATAATAAGCTATTTAATTAAAGATTATTATAAATATTTAAATCGCAAGCAATATATATTATAAAATGGTATTTTTCTTTATAGCACAATTAAATAGATAGAAAGTTAAATTTTAATTATTAAATATTTATATTCAATTCTGCATTTATGATATGCACGATAAATAAAATCCATATTTGAAACCTAATTAGTTAAAACACTTTCGAAGTAAATTAATGGTACAAGATTATCGAGATCCGATATTAATAAGATTGTCTTCTATTCTTAAAACTGAGCTCACGCTTTAGTATCGTTTGGAGAGGAGGGTGGAGTAGTGACGAGTCTGTCACAGCAGGGGATAATTATCGGAATCCCGAGGGTTATTAATCGCCAGTATCGCCGAGATTATGATCGAGCCAGCGGGAGGACTTCCGGCTGAATAATTCCAGCTCGTGAATTTCTGAGTAATTTGTAAATGTCAAGCGTTCGGCCGCCGTTTACAAGTTTTCCGCTTCGTACCCCCCTCTCGTCTTCTGGGCTGACAAATCGACCGTTTATACAGGGTGCCTCCCACAGTCACGAACTATTGACATTGCGCGCCGTAATTACGGAGACGCGATGCGAGGTGCCGCGCCATTTCGCATTGATATGCGCCGTTCTTATCGGCGCCATCGGCTAATAAAATAATCAATGACACGAATGTACGATGGATACAGAAATGATCGAAGAGAACAAAGATACTTACATTGTGAATAATTTATATCTAACAAGGAGAGATATTGTCTTTCTCATATTATAAATGGAAAAAAGATCACACGTCTAGAAAGTTTGATTAACGATACCATTTATATATAATGAGTTGAAAAGTTGATTGTCCGATTTGTATGAATTTTTCTAAATAACAGTAACAGTAAGGCGATAGTAAATCTACTAAATTCTGAGGCCATTTTATTTAATAAAATTAAAAAATTTTATTAAAATAAATTTGATGATTGGATGTCTTGTTTCCAAACGGTTTACAATTCGTTAAGGCACCCCGTACATCTCTAAGAGTGACGATTAGATATTTGGATATGTAAGGTTTGGAAGTAAATAAAATAGAGGAAAAGAAGAGAGAGAAATTCGGAAAAATATTCGTCGAAATTGTTTCGGGATACTTCGTATACATGACGCGACTTGAAACTTGAAAACGAGCGGGCCACGATCGATTTTTGCGCTGGACCGTATTTCCAGGCTACCTCTATTACACATCTTTCTTCGCTTATGTCGCTATTAACAATCTACATTTATCTACACACTCGAACCTCTCGCGACGCGTCGCAGACGCATGTGTTTTAGGTTTAGATTTCAACTTTAACAAACACCTAATGGTCCAGTACGGGAGGAGGTTTGCGTTGCTTGGCCGTTAATTATACAATAGATTAGTGCTTAGCCAGACTTTTATACAGACTGCCTCTCGCGATACGGTAGATTTATTATACATGCGCCATACTCTCGTTCCAAACGATCGCGAATCGCGTTCACCGCTTTTTGCTTTTTTTCGTTTTTCTCGTTATCTAATCTAATATCTTATCGCTAATATTTTATCTGATCTTATTCTTCTTGAGGTCAATTTTGAAAAAAATATAATTTCCGATATCTTTCTTTCTATCTCAGACTTCTTTTTACATTTTCTCAATTAATTTGTTTGCCAAAATCGCATCAAAGCATAAATTAATACAACTTGCTCGATTTTCATCCATACTAACATTATATTATAATATTAACAATAATCGTGCAAAACAACAATTTCAACATTTAAATATAGAACGAATAAATTCAAATAAGTACATATAATACTCTTATTCAAACATTTGCGACAAAATGTTTTGTTCCTATTTGTTTACGGACTTTTTAATCATTCGCCTTTCTAAGTTCTAATCTTATCTGCCAATCAAGATTAAACTTAGATTAAAAAATTTATTCTAAATATAATTTATACAAATTAGCTAATCTTATTAAAATAAAAATCTTAATTTATTTTCTTTATTATTTCCTAGTTTTTATAAATCATTTATTATTCTATCATCAATTATTTATACATAAATCATCATATAATCAAACATTATCAATATCGTGTACGACTGCCAATTATCAACTTGCGATGTAATTCGTATTCAAGTCACAAGTCGATTACACGTCGATCGTGCAACAATCTTGTCGCGAGACACTTTTGATGGCGAATTTATTAATGATCGAGCGCATAAAAAACGCAATGAGTCGACGATTTCTGCTCGATTTCTACTTGATTTCTGCATTTGACAAATACATTTCATGTCGATCTCGCTTCCGCATCAAGCTCGACTTCAAACTGGCGTCGATCGTCCAGGGCATCATCAATCATCCGTCGCTAACCCTTCGAGTACCAAATAGCACTCTTTCCTATGGAAGATATTATTACAGTGCAACTGCAGTAATCTTCAGTCAAGCAGAGTTATCATGTCCATGGGATGCATTAGCATCTATATTAAATGCTTTCAAAATGTTGGAACATGCAATGAATATTTTATAAAATACCCATGTGAATTTTCTATTTTCTCCAATATATATTCTGAAAATAAAATTAAGTAACCTCGAAATCGACAGTTTAGGTGCAATTTTAAACACGTGCCACATTCTCATTGATTACTAACTTTCATTTATCGCAAAAAGATAGACATAAAGTAAAATACATAATAACGATATAAAAAAATATACGTTACTAGAGAGTATATACTACTAAAACTTTGAAAATAAAATTTCTTATTTCTCTTCGTCTATGATCTTATTTTGGAAGGAAAATAATTTTACTCGTAATATTAATTATGATAACTATCGCATATGTTTCAAGATTAAGTCTGAAACCATATGAATTGTTACGGTCGAAGAGTTAAGGACGAGATTCGAGGACGCTCCGTCGAGTAACAAAAAAAAAATATTATTAGATATCAATATTATTTAATAATATCTTTAACGGTGCGGTGAGCAATCCGCGATCGGCGGAAATGGATAGAGATCGCTATTGCAGATCCGCTGATCGATCCCTGCGATCTGCATGGCGATCGAGGGGAAGACGGGAACTCTTCCCTTCGTTGATCTACGCCCTTCAAGGCCACGAGTCCTTTCTCGTCCGGATCGGAATCGTTGCGACAACGTGTACGCGACACGTAGCGATCTTCCGCAAGGGGGACATTCGATACGGATTCTTCGTGGTATCTTGATGTCCCTGTCACGAACCGAAGAGACACGTCGACCCGAAGAGGCCAATTGAGAACAGAATGACAAGGAGCGCTGACGACGATCTGGGGATCGCCGCCTCGCTATTGTACGGCATCTTCACCTCGACCTCGGCCATCTTGAAGATCGAGAGCAGCGGATGCGTGTGCACCTCGTGATGTTTATTGTTGATCTTATCACTGAGATCTTGCATCATCGACGCGCACTCCTCCTGCAAATCGAGCATTTTGATTAGCACAGAATATTCCAAATAAAGGAACAATTCAAAAACAGATTTTATTTTAAAGAAAATTTAACGTGAAATTTTTATGTGAAATTTATAATAAGATGAATTTTTCGGAAATTTTAATACTTATTATAATTAATCTCCTCCATATTGCTCTCTTAATTTCTTCTTTTGAATTAATTTTTATTCAAATTTACAAATATTCTCACACTTTATTTATCTTTCAATATTCTCTTCGTGTAATTTTATATAAAAAACAACTTGTTTAAATAGATGTTATAAACTGAAAAAAATTCAAGTTATTAAACCAGAAGAAAGTTTCTAAATAAAAGCTTTTCCAATAATTTTGTGCTCAATCACTCAGTAATGAAATGTTATACCATCGAAAAATTAAACCGATTAGAACTAATAAAATTTTCTTTTTAGGAACGTTCCGGTCGAAGAATCTGTGGATGAAAGAAGCGGCCAATAGCTCTGATAAACTCCGAGAATCTGTTATATAACGACTAAAATAAATCCCTCGCGAAAATATAATCCCCACGAAAGCAGGCGCATTTTCCGCTCTTACTATCAATAGTTGTTCCACCAGAATTCGAGTTTCCCTCGAATACGACTTAACGACGTCGAATGTAACCCCTTTCCCTTTATCTTGTAGCTCTTCCCAGACAGAATCCGGTATCGATTTCCATTTTCAACCCTCTCCTGCTGCTCTTCACGTGCGGTCCCTGTTCCTCGTCCCCAAAATTACCCTCGGCTCGTTGAATCTTTAATTTCCGGCGTAGAAGTCCGCGAGGCTGAGAGCGATTTTTGGTGATATCTTTCTAGTGCGCCACGTGGCCCGACCAGATTTCTCGACGCCGGCGTTTCGTTCGCTCGTTTCGCACCGTGCGAGGTTTTCAATGAGATTAAATTCCGTGTGGAAGCTGGAATCTTGCGCGAATAACTTTGCCGTGACGAGCCGGCGTAGCTTCCAGCGTGGAATGAAACTTTCGACGAATTCGACCATGATATCTTCGGTGCTCGGAAAAAGGATGCGATTTGTCTAATTTGAGGTATGTCTTCGCGTATATAATGTATTAAAAATCTACACTTTAAAATTAAATTTGCTATATGCCGCATATCGCAATGCGATCCGTCAATGATAATTTTGTGATGTTGCCTCCCTTCTTGGGAAAAACGCTTAGATTTTTATGATTTACGATGACTACTACATTATTTATTTTTTAAACAATTGTATTCTTTTCAAGATGTAAATTTTATGTAATGCTTGCTACATGAAACATTCAAGATATCTGATTATGAAATAATGTTGCTGCATATCTATGTACTCAATAATTAACCCGCAACGTGAGAGAAACTCGGGTTTACAATTAGCACCAGCCAATACGTAAAATGAATTATCGCACTGGGCTTTTGTCCGGCCATGCTTGGATCATTACTGCTTCGCGCAGTTCAATTCAATTAGCCTAAAAAGCTGGCCAAACACATTCGGCGTATTTCCTTTTATCTATAGGTCATATCCATTTCGCAGTCAAGTATAATTACTAAATTTAAATATTTAAGATTTAATTAGATATACTGCGCAAAATTAAAAAAATTTGAATAAATTTATAAATAGCTTGGATCAACGATTTAAAAAAATCAAAAGTAGATTTCTTGTAAATCTGATTATTTTCTGCAGAACTGTCCGTCATATTAAATATCATAATTTAAATGTGACAAGACGGATATTATTATATTATTACAGATAGATATTATTCAAACGAAATGATTGTGTGTGTGTCTCTCACTCTTGCATAAAATTATAAATTAAATTTATGTTTTAATTTAATACACCAGGCTCTAAATTTTCAATCTTAAACCGACGAGTTTATTGTTTGAAAGTTCGGTTTTTGCATAATTCGTATATTAAATGGAGTAGCTGAATATATGAAAATCACTAACTATTTATTCTATTTTTTGCTATATCATCATAATTTTGTTACGTGGAGAAAAGTCGACGAGGCTTTTAATTGCCACGTGTATTTCCATGTGCTCGGTTTCCCTACCAGAGTAATCCGACTTTGAATGCAAATGTGCGGCGTAACTTTTTTTCCATCAGGATTATCCGGCAGATTCGCAACAGTATTGTGCGCCGCGGATATGTAACTCCTACTTTTTTACTTCGCGGATTGTGCTGCTTATCTCCCGTCGTGCTCCAACATCAGCCGACACGTGTTTAATTTTTCCCTGGATAATATTTTATTTAATCCGACTTTGTCATGAAATAATACATGTACGTTACGTAATGGTCTTCTGGCGAGAGTCTCATTTGTTTCTACTAATAAAACATCAGTCTCCCACAGTAAAAATGTCAAATAATTCAATAGGGACCTTAATAAAGTTAAATAAAATCAAACCGCTTTTAAAATTCAAGTTAAATAATTTTATGGATTTCTAATTATTTCTGATTATTTTATTCTTAGTTCGGTCAATTATTGTGATTTATTTCTTGTGTTCAAACTAATAACAAATTAAAACATGTTTAATTAAATACGGTTGATTTTTATTAAATGTAAAAAATAATTAAACGACACAAAATCCGACATCGGAATGTATGATGTCATCGGATCATTTTAAAGATTTTACATATTATTTTTCTTCGTGTTATCTGAGATACAAGAGATTAACAATAATACTTTTTATGTATTTCAATCATATCACATTGTCTAACAATTTTCATTAGCAGTTCAGTTTCTTTTGTAGTCGTTAGCTATCACTCATTAATCCTTTTCAAGAGATTAGAATTGAATATAATAATAGTATTGCCCCTATTAAAATAATAACAATAACCAAAATGATCAAATCAATCAAGTTATCACGATTCATGCCGAACATAACATTCCGCTGTTTACGTCAGTTGTTTAACGTTATGCTTTAATTAATACCGAGCTGTACCACGACGAAACTCACCGGCAGCTCGATGGTTGTTCTAATTTACGCTCTCTTGCATTATGCGGTACGCGCGTGCCTCTTCTACCATATTAATCCAGGGTTAGAAGTACATCCGTGTTACATTGCGTTCCGCTGAAATAATTTCGCTTTACAGGTAGACACGCGCTAATAGAATTATTTGGAAATTGGCGAACGCATGAGCGAATATGCACAAGGAAAGCTAATAAATTATTTGCATAAACATTTAATTATAGAAAGTCTGATACGAATAACGTTGAGCTCATCCATAAAGAGTTATGTAGTGTAAGCGATCCTAAGCGGCTTAGAAATGAAAATTATTAAGACGACGCTTAACGATCATATAGGTAGAAGCAATTTATTAGTAAATCGCTATTAAAGCTATATCTTGTATTAAGTAATTTGCGTAAAATATTTGGAGAACCGACTCTTGCAAGAGATAAAATTAGATGATGTAAATCTAATTTTCAAATATAACAAATTTTAAGAAAAACGCTAAATTGCCATGGATTATTTTTAATAAAATTTTCGAAATTGTATCTATATAATTTGTAAAATATTTACATTATTATTATATTTAAAAATCGCTGAGTGAAATGTATTATAAGTATTAATAATTAATTATTAAATATGTATTCCTAATAAAATAAAATTCAGAATTATTTCCAATTATTCAATTATTAGTGGTGCAAACTAAAAGTTAATTCTTTTCTCGTGTAATATAAACAAAATTAAGTTTAAATAACAATCGTGTTTAATTTAGCAAAAATCTTTCAGTAGCTTCAAAGAAACATCGTGAGCTGAAGTGAGGGCATTAAGCCTCGAGCATGATCGTGCTGTTCTCTAGAAAGGACGATCTCAATTTGTGATCACCGGAAAGTAATGGTTGTCCTTACAGCGTCACAGGATCGGCCATTTATCCCCGCGTGAATGAAGGCAGGTGCAGGATGCAGCGTACCTGCAGGTGCAATTGCAGCTGATAATGGGGCAGGTACTATTATCTCTTCCGTCAGGACGAATCCCTTATTAATGGTCGACTAATTGGATTTCTGGACGGAGGAGTGATTATGAAATGTGGTCTCGTGCATGTTGACAGAAAAGGGAGGAAGAGGTATGAAACGTACAGGGTGTCTCTGGTTCGTCATATCTTCCAGTTATAGTTCGCATCTTTACTCTATTTAGACATGTTTTAATAACTTTTGAATGCAAATATGTTAAAAATTTAAACATTTTTACGATTTATGATATACAAAGAGAAACACAATATTTAATTCTTTATTTCATTCCAGATAAATTAGATTTATATAATATTTATGTTCTGAAGAAACGCATTCAAGATTAAGCACTTGTATTATTGTTTAAAATTATAATTTTTAACGTAAAATTTTTAGTAAGAATTTTGGAATCGATATGTATATTGCCAGAACGATATGTGACTTTTGAGACCCTCTATATACGGTTAATAGAGAAGATAGATTCATCCTACAATGGCGATCTCTGCATTTGGTCCTTGCCCGATATCCTCCCTTTCAATCGAGGAAATACATCTGATATCAGAACGATTGTCGTCACTCAAAGACGAAACGTAATTGCAGCTCGCAATAATGAAACAATGGCGCCGATGTATAATAGTGCGGATATAGAATCCGCATGTGAATAAGCGGACGGTGATACAGTCTATTGATAAAGGACGAGAAGTAATTATGATTGAATAATTACGACAGTTTATAACGATTAATTGCGTGGGACGAAAAATGAATTTTAATCAAAAGATTTCTCTTAAAGATATTTTTTTAAGAAAAATTTGCTCGCACGTAACTATCTTTCAATAACTTTATTCAGTCTATAATTTATTTTTAAAAACTCTCTAGTTTAATTTGTATCTTTTATTTTCTTACGATCTAATAATTCTCTTTTGCAAGTAATGCCAGTAATTATATCATTGTACTGTTATTAATCGAAGTGACAGAGTACGATAAAATACGAGTACGAGGTGAAATTGTGGTTTTCAGAAATAATAAAGTAATTTTTGT